AATCTTGCTTTTTAGCTTCTATACTTCTATAGTTCTGCCTCTTGCTAATTGAAGTATCCCAATTAAGATGGTTTTTGTACATAAAGTCAAAGAGCTGTAAGGCTCAAGGTTACATGATTTGGGCAAGTTCTCTGTGTAGCTACCAGGCAAAAAAATAAAGACTTTCTTTTTGGCTTTAAGAGTGTCCATGTGGGGGCGGTGGTGGCTCACGCCTTTAATCCCAGCACTTGGAAGGCAGAGGCAGATGGATTTCTGAGTTCGAGGCCAGCCTGATCTACAAAGTGAGTTCCAGGACAGCCAGGACTACACAGAGAAACCCTGTCTTGAAAAAAAAAAAAAAAAAGAGTGTCCATGTGATGGTCTTTGTGGCCTTACAACAGGGTTTCTCCTCATAAACACAAAGAACAATTATGGCAGACTTCAAATATCAATGAGGATGTTTATAGTGGTAAATTTGGTTTCTTTTAAAAACACACAGTTGAAAAAAACAAAAACAAAAAACAAAAACAAAAAACACAAAATGAGGATGGATAGATGGCCCAGGAGTTAACAGCACTGACTGCTCTTCCAAAGGTCCTGAGTTCAATTCTCAGAAACTACATGGTGGCTCATAACCATCTGTAATATATCTGATGTCCTCTTCTGGTGTATCTGAAGACAGCTATAGTGTACTCATATACATAAAATAATTCTTTTTTTTTTTTTTTTTTTGGTTTTTCGAGACAGGGTTTTTCTGTGTAGCCCTGGCTGTCCTGGAACTTACTCTGTAGACCAGGCTGGCCTCGAACTCAGAAATCCGCCTGCCTCTGCCTCCCAAGTGCTGGGATTAAAGGCGTGTGCCACCACCACCCAGCTAAAATAATTCTTTTTAAAAAAACAAAATGTGTTTGTTTTAATCCTAGGTATGGGATATGAAGCTGAGACAGATTGTCCACAACAGATGACTATGATTTGTCTTGTGCTCTTGCAGGGACGTGATTTTGACAGCTGCAGATATTTTCTGTGATTGTGTGATGTTTGGAATTCTGGAAATTTTTCAGAGAGCACATGAATTCCAGAGCCTCCACAGGTGGGTTGTGGTTGGTTGTTGGCTGTCGGTCATGGGTTTATTAAGTAGTTGTAGGCAAAGAAGAAACCAACAAGAAGAAATTAGACTGTATGGAAGCTAGAAGCGTCCAGGACTAGGCCTAGGCTAGCAGATGGAGGTAGTAAGCCTTTGAGACAACAATCACTACAAGCAAATAAAATATGCTTTTACAAAGGGGAGAGAAGGGATGAAAAGAAAAGGGGAAGATATAGGAATAATAGGAATAAAGGGTAAATTATTGAATATACTCTTAAATTATAGAGCCACTACTACTGGCCCAAAATCTTACATTTGTTTAGATCTTTGTATATTGATACAAAATCAAGGTTATATTTAGTTACATTGGTATTGATTTTTGCATATTGATACAAAATTAAGGTTATATTTAGTTACAAATACTATATATTAACTCCTTTTAAGGTACTGTACCTATATAATTCTTAAAAATGCAATATTACATTCCAGTCCTTTGAAAGCTGCTATTACAAACTTTAGGATAATTAAGAATGAAAGTTAATAATCAAACTTATAGTCATGTTTGATACTAGTTATTACAGAACTGTTTCCTAAGTTGAACAGATATAAACAAGCAACATTTGCCTATTCAGACATAGTACAAATAGATGGTCTTCAAAAACCTCAGAGATCCACAGCATATGGCATTATAGATGTTTTATTAGTAAAAGGCATTTTTGCCAATTAAACAGTCCTGCTCCTGGCAGCACCCCTTTTCTACTTCAAAGTAGATGATCAGCATTGAAGATCCTTCTTTTGGTGTTTGCTTCAAATATATTGGACTAGTCATCGAGCAAGAAGTTGTCCTTGCTTCAACTGCTGACAGTATGTTGTCCATCCTGGACAAATGAGATGCGGGGAAGTCGACTACTGACCTATACCAAGACGCAGCAAGCAGTCTTTCATAATTCCTGCTTTACAAAAACCTGTCAGATATTTTGAAGGATGAAGATGGATGCTCCAACTTTATAGAGAAATTTTGAGGCACTGTCCAGCCAACCAACTCTCTCTGCCACTTCTATAGTTTTCAAAGCTGTTTGCCTGTACTTCCTGCATACCTAGGTCTCTGATGGCGTTAAAGACTAGCCAGTCTCACAATTAAGCTTAAGCTGTTTAGGATTTGAGAAAAATGTTTTTAGACCTAAGAAGATATTCTTAGATTTTTTTTTTTTGTTTTTTGTTTTTTGTTTTTTTTTTCGAGACAGGGTTTCTCTGTATAGCCCGGGCTGTCCTGGAACTCACTCTGTAGACCAGGCTGGCCTCGAACTCAGAAATCCGCCTGCCTTTGCCTCCCAAGTGCTGGGATTAAAAGCGTACGCCACCACCGCCCGGCATTCTTAGGTTTGTAAGTGCAAGTTTTGATTGAAAATGATTTAAATACAGAACTCTAACTTGCCAAGATAGGATAGACAGTAGCGTACTTTCTCCAAAGTTGCCAAATAAAAATGGACTAGACATGATTAATGTAATCCATACATAATGTGTTTCATAATTGTTCTTATGTTATATATTATTGTAAAAGAAAGCCTTTTGTTGGACTAAAAGGGGGAAATGTAGAATCTCTTGTGCACTGTGTAAAAGCATTCACCTGTCAATAAAAAAAAAATCCTATGGGCAATGAATTGAGGCAGAAAATAGGAATGTAAGAGGTGGAAATTCTGGCAGAGAGAAGAGAGGGGAATTCTGGGAAATAGCGAAGCAGAAGCGATTCACCTGGACAGAGGGGAAGCAGGTTGTATAAACCTGAGAAGTAACTAGCCAGTAGAAGAATGTATTCTAGAATAAACTGGATTACTGAGGCATGAGCTAGTTGGGTAACAGAGCCAAGGTTATTAGCCAAAGCATTTATTAATAAATAATTAGTCTCAGAGTCTAAACCTACCAATTTATGGCTTTCTTTTGTTCTGTGGCTATAAAAGTCCATGAAACCTCTTCCATAGTGAACTATTCCTGTCAGAACAACCTGATTCCATGTGCTTAAGCCTGTGATTATTCATATCTGGGTCAGAATACATTCTTGGTTCCTTTAGAGCAAGATTTATACTTTGCATTCATATTTCTCACAGCAGGTTTTCCCCTTAGCTGCCAGCCTTCGCTGTTCTGATTCTATGGTGGGTCATTGCCATTCCCGGCCTTTCAATTGTCCTACTCTGATAGCACAGCAATTCACAGCCTTCTCCAAGCTGCATCCCTACAGAACCCTGCGAGAAGTAAGGGAGTCTTCATTTCACAATAAGCTTTCTGAAAACTGAGAATAGCAAAAGTGAAACAGTATATTTCACAACCAGGCAAAGTCAGGCTTCAGACTACAGCCAAAGAAAATTGGCTAGTTTGCATATTTTTTGGCATAAAATAGTGCTTTTTAAATGTCCCTAATTTCATTTCATCTCCTTCAGTTCTTTTGTTGAGTTCTTTAAGGAGATAGAGTCTTCCTGGTGCTTGTGTTGCTCCCTTCCTCAAGTATCTCATTAGAGGACAGAAAGCCTTATCTATCCTGGGTAGCCAGTCTCTTAGCCCATACGAACTTTTCAGTCCTAGGATAAAAATGAAAATTGCCTAGACAATGTCACTGACTGTAGCCAGGGACGATAGCGTCTTAGTGCCTTCTGTTTGACAGTGATTCTTTAATGGGCTCTAAATGCATCTCTGCAATGAACACAGAAAAAGAATGCCTTTTAGACATGTAAAAATAGCTTAGTCAAGAAACCCACTACACCCATAACCTGCACCCAATAACCAGAATCCAGTGACATCACTCACTCAAGATAACCAGACACAATCCTAGAACCCCATGATGCCCACTGGACAGTATATAAACAGTGACCAAGAACAACATTCTGCTCTGTACATCTGAAGAGAGGCTACCTTAATCTGCCTTGGCTAGAGAGTCTCCCACAAGATCCTGACCCTGGTATCAGAGACTTCTGTTAAAGAGATTGGACCAAACCTTCAGCTAAGTGGCACAGGTGAGAAATCTTGGGGAAATAGGCTTGGGACTGTAGTTAGGAAATTTAGAGTGTGTATTTTGTGTGATGATCCTCAGCATAAAATACACCTTTTGTTATACTAACTACGCATTATCTTACCTTTTTGTTCCCATAATCTCATACTGTTTAAACTTTAAGGGAGCCGGGCGGTGGTGGCACACGCCTTTAATCCCAGCACTTGGGAGGCAGAGACAGGCGGATTTCTGAGTTCGAGGCCAGCCTGGTCTATAGAGTGAGTTCCAGGACAGCCAGGGCTACACAGAGAAACCCTATCTCGAAAAACAAAAACAAAACAAAATAAACTTTAAGGGAGTTCTCAGAATCTCCAAACAACCCATCTAGTCCCCTTCACTTTTTTCTTGACCATTCCATTCGAGGTAAAGAGGAAAGGTCACAAGGCAGGCAGGCTGTAAATCTGCCTGTCTACCGAGTTCTAAGATTAAAGAAAAGTGTGAGCCACCACGCCCCGCAGCAGCTCTATTTCTTTCTCTTTTTTTTCTTCTTTTTCTTTCTTTCGAGACCGAGCTCTCAGTAGGCAACCTAAACTGGCTCCCAACAGTGAAGCGATTTTCCTGCCGGTTTCCCGATTAGCAGAACTTGAAGAGCCCGCTACCTCACTCCTATTTTCATATCACTTAAATGTTAACCTGCAAAGGGCTCTCCAAAAGAAGTTCAGTGGACCTGAGGAAGGTACTCGTAATAGAGATAGTGCACAAACGAAGTGCTGGAGCACAGCGCATCTATAAAATTGGCGGAGTGACCACCTGGAGGAAATCATAAAGAGAAACATGGTAACCAGACTATAGGGAGCCGCGGAAAGGACTCCAGACTCCCCCACAAACGCCCGCCCCCAGGAAGTTTCCAATATTGCGCAAGCGCTGCGCCCAACGCGTCATCAAAGGCGACGGCACATTAAGACAACTCGGTCGCAGGCGCGGCTCACACCGCTTCAGTTGCCGGCTCAGGAGCTGTGACGTCAGGTGCCAGGAAAGGTGGTCCACGGGCGCAGACCTTAGCTGCTCCCAAACTGATTCAGCGTTGGCCGGTCGCTCTCACGCGCCGATTGCAGTGCGGACCCAGAAAAGCACCGTCGGCCTCCGCAAGCGTTACGTCGTCCTCATTTCCGTGTCGGTGATTTCCGGTTACCGCCATCTTCCTCGCGCCGAAGCCGGCTTCTAGGTGGTAGCTCCGTAGCGAAGAGTGCAGTGGGTAGTTCGGTCGGTGCCATGCCGTCATCGCCGCTGCGGGTGGCGGTGGTGTGCTCGAGTAACCAGAATCGGAGCATGGAAGCACACAACATCCTCAGGTAGTGCAAGCTCCACCTGCCCTCTGCCCCTCCCTCCTTTTTTTCCCCCCACAGATTCTTGTCCAGACCCCGACCCTGTACTGACTGGGCCGCGGAAGGTCGGGCCACACCCGGCTTACAGGCTCGGCGAACCCTCAGAGGGATCTGTGCGCGCGACGCCCTTCTGTAGAGTAAGCATCCTAGTAAATTCTAGAGATGGCATGCTATTCGCGGCCTGTCTGCGTACTTTGTGTCTGACAGCTGGCGGCCTCTGGGTATGAAGCAGTATCACAGGGTAGGCCAAGATCTTTCCGTGATGCGAAGGGTGCCTGATGTTTATCTTTCCCCGTATGTGTCGTCAGGTCACATTCACTGGAAAGCTTACAACACGTCATATCAAGATGGAACGAGTCTGGAAGTAACAACCAGTGGTTAACGTCAGGAACTGTTTATTGCTCTCTACGTTTGCAAGTCTCATGCACAAGCCACCACCCCTCCCCCCCCTTAACTTTAGTCAATAATTTGTAGAGCACATGAATTCATTTGGTTCAGTGGGACCACCTCATATTTCTTCACGAATTGACCAGTGTCTAGTAGGGATTTCTTCTTTGATAGTATCGTATCTTAAGAATCTCTTGACAAAATGAGAAAGTGATGCATTGCATTACAGTTAAAATGTGGTTTTATAAATGTCAACTTTGATAGTACAGTAGAAATGGCTCTTTCTCCCAGAGTTAACTGTTTGAAAACTTTTGAAACTTTTATAAATCTTATTTTTTGACAATTGCGCTTTTTTTTCCCCCCCTCAAAACAGGGTCTCTATGTAGTTCTGGCTGTCCTGGAACTCGCTCTGTATATCTGGTTGGCCTCAAAATCAGAGATTTGTCTGCCTCTGCCTCCTAGCTGCTGCGATTAAAGGTGTGCTGCCGGCTTTGAACTCACTTTTCACCTGCCTCCCTCGTGTTGTTATTAATAGGAGTTTGCCACCATACCAAGCACTGTCTCATGTTTTCTTAGTTGTCCAGAGTGTTAGTTGCCTATCATCTCAAATTCTAAAATCTCATTCTTTGTAATATTTACTGCTACGGTAGTTCTCAACCTTCCTAATCCTGCAACCATTTAATATAGTCCTGTTTTTGCTGTGACCCCAATAGAATTATTTTTGATGCTCCTTTATAACTGTAATTCTGCTTTTACGAATTGTAATGTAAATATAAGTGTTTTCTGATGGTTTTAGGTGACCCCTGTGAAAGAGTGGTTTGACCACCCAAAGAAGTCACTGAGAACCGATGACGTAGACCATAGTCTTTACTTAGTAGTTTTGTTTGTTTTGTTGATGGTGACATGCTTTGAATTTATACAGTATGGGCTATAAAGTGTAAAGCTAGCCTGGACTATAAGATACCATCTCAAAAAAAAAGGGGGGGGAGGTACCCTACTTTAGATTGTTTCCTTGAACTAAGATTTATCTTGCCTCACTCAGAGTGCTAAGATCACAAGGATTTGATGCCATGCCCTACCTTTGTGAGTTACCGATAGACACATACACCTAACAGGTTTAAAAAGCACTTTATCTATTACCTGCTCTTGTTGAGATACTGTGGACTTACTAGTTTTAGGTATTCTTACATTTGTGCCTGGAGGTAGAACTTTGATTTGTGTCATCCTCAGTAATTCAGTCTACCTTCTTTGAGACAGGTTCTCTCCCGAGTCTTGGGAATTAAACTCAGGTCCGAGACAGGTTCTCTCCTGAGTCTTGGGAATTAAACTCAGGTCCTCCTGTTCATGTGGCAAACTTGCCTCTATACTGACTGATCTTCCAGCACCCCTCTCCTACCCCACCCCCTTTTTGGCCTCATCTCACATTGTGGCTCAGGTTCAGGTTGAACTTGAAGGTTTGGCATTCCTGCCTCAGCCTCCCAGATGCTAAGGTTAAGAAGGAAATCCACTGTGCTCTGTTCTTTTTTTCCTCTTTCATATTTACACGTTGAATTTAAATATACTTATTCATGTTTAATGAACAAGGGTGAAGTTCTCAGTAATAGAGATTCCCTGCAGCCGTTGATTTTTGTCATTGTTTTTCCATTAGTAGACGTCAAATGATTCTAACTTAAGTGACAACTTCCTTGTGCTGTGTAAATATCTTTACACAGGTTACTATTTTAGTATAAATTTCCAAATGGACCAAATGGTGGGCATGTTTCACATTCTTAACAGTTTTCAAGGGTGCTTTCCAGAATAGTGCATATTTATACAGTTCCCGTTGCCTCTCAGTCTCAGGAAAGAATCTTTCTTTTTTAAGCCCCAAAATAGAAAAAAATATTAAGTATACTTCAGGAGGACAACAGGCAGTAGTGGAGCACACCTTTGATCCCAGCACTTGGAGGCAGAGGCAGGTGGATCTCTGAGTTTAAGGCCAGCCTGGTCTACAGAGTGAGTTCCAGGAGAGCCAGGGCTGTTACACAAAGAAACCTTGTCTCAAAAATAAAACAGGCTAGGCTTCAATTAGAATGTTGCCTCCTGCAGTTTTTTGTTTTGTTTTATTTACAGGTTGCTTTCAGGCAGAAAACAACCTGTAATTTTATTATTAGCCAGACCCCATAGTTTTATCTGTAGTCTGAGCCATCCTAGGCTACATTCCCAGTAATGAAAAAATTTTTTTTCTGCATGCCTATTTATGCACTACTTGTATGCCTGTATCCTCATAAGCCAGAAGAAAGCACTGAGTCCCCGAAGAACTGGAGTTATATAGGTGGTTGTGAACCACCATGTGGGTGCTAGTAGCAGTCGCTATTCTTAGCCATTGATCGATTTCTCCAACCGTTTTCTCTCTTTTTTAGATCGTGTTGAGATTAAAAGTATATATGCCACCATGCCTGGTCCATGGAAGCTGCGTTTTTAATTATGAAAAACCCAAAATTGCCTGGGAATATAGCTCAGAAGTAGAATACTAACCTAGTACACCCAAGGTTATGGGTTCATACCTAGCTCTTCAAACACAAAGGAGAAGGAAGCTGGGAGAAGGCGTAGCTCAGTAGCATGCTTGTCTGTTGTGCACAAAGCCCTGGCTTTGATTCTCAGCACCCCATTAAAAATGATGTGATAACACATGTCTATAATCCCACTACTTAGGAGGCAGAAGCAATAAAACTAGAATTTTTTTTTTTTTGGTTTTTCAAGACAGGGTTTTCAAGACAGGGTTTCTCTGTGTTACCTGGCTGTCCTGCAACTTGCCAGGCTTACTACCTTGAATTCAGAAATCCACCTACCTCTGCTCAAAGATCAAAGGTATGCCATTATACCAGGTTCCATGGGCTACTTCATAACTGTACCATAACATCTCGCCAGCTTTAAAAGCTTTGGAAGATTGATATGTCAACAACATAAAAGTCAGGATGATAGGCCCTAGCTAGTCTTTAGTAAAGATGACAGGATTGTAGTACTTCCTGTTTTGTTTTTTAGATTTATTTTGCCGGGCAGTGGTGCCGCACGCCTTTAATCCCAGCACTTGGGAGGCAGAGGCAGGCGGATTTCTGAGTTCGAGGCTAGCCTGGTCTACAGAGTGAGTTCCAGGACAGCCAGGGCTACACAGAGAAACCCTGTCTCGAAAAACCTAAAAAAAAAAAAAAAAAAAATTTATTTTATTTTATGTATATGAGTACTCTATCTGTGTGTACATTTTACACCTGTATGCCAGAAGAGGGCATCAGATCCAGTTACAGATGGTTGTGAGCCACCATGTGATTTCTCGGATTGAGAAATCCAGGACCTCTGGAAGACCAAGCAGTGCTCTTAACACTGAGCCCTAGTACTTCCTGTTTTGAGATGGACTTGCTTTAAGAAGCAGTGAATTCAGGATTTCAGTGCTCTGTTAAAAATCATAACTGAAAGTCCCATTTATCACTTCAGAACATTAAGGGGTGTATGGGGGAATACCAGAACCTATGCTAGCAATTTGAACATTTTTTTGGGCATACATTTTACCATTTTACTTTTCCATCTTTGGTACAACAGTGAAACAATTTTTTTTGTTGTTTTTTTGTTTTGTTTTTGTTTTGTTTTGTTTTGTTTTCAAGACAAGGTTTCTCTGTATAATCCTGGCTGTCCTGGAACTCACTCTGTAGACCAGGCTGGCCTTGAACTCAGAAATCCGCCTGCCTCTGCCTCCCAAGTGCTGGGATTAAAGGCGTGCGCCACCACCGCCCAGCATCAATTTGTTTTTCTTAATGTAACATTTTCTACAATGAATTCACTAATAGATTTTTGATAGGTGTGAAAGACATTTATTTTTAGACAGAATAGTTGCCCTTCAGGCAAAGCTGTTGATTGTCAGGAGTATTTTTATAGCATTCACTGCCTTTATGTAAGAAGCAGATTGTCACCATACAAGATGGGCTGTTATGCCAGTTTCAGAAGCTTCAGAGAAAGCAGAGCTTCTGTTGCTAATTAGCCTTTTTGCCACCTGGGAACAGCTTTTTGGGGGGAAACAAACTGCATTGCAATTTATTTTTAATTAGGATGCTTGAAAGAAATAGTTCAGAAAATGGGGGAGGGGAGGCACTTCCTAATGTGATGGCAGACCATGCAGGCAGCTCTTGGGCTTGCAGTCATACCGAGATTAGTTCAGGTTGTTTGGGGGATGATGTACTTGTAAGAATAGACAGATTAAAATGGAGACTATTCCCTGTGGAAAACCCTGTATCAGCCTTACAACCTTCTGGGGATTGTGGCCATGTCTATCATGGCCTCTCCAATGCTCTTGGGGACCTGCTTGGAGGGTTTCTCTGTGTTTCTCTATAATGAGGATGTTGTGTGCATTTGAAGTGCCTCTATCTCCTACCTTACTTGTTTTGTTGGGGTTCCTAGGCTAGTCTCAAAATCTTGAGTTCAAGTTGATTCTCCTGCCTTTCAGCCTTCTGAGTAGCTGAGACTTCAGACTTGTGCCAAAGGGTCTAGCTCTATCCCTCACTTAACGTACTCAGGGAAATGACCAAAAAGAAATGAGCCTTACGCATCCAGCTTTTTGCTTTTCCCATTGTTAAAATATTCTGATAATCCCTTTAGTGTAGATCTTAGGCAATGGAGGGAGGCGGACCTTTTGGGAAAAGTAGTCTCAGCCCTTTGACTTAATTAAGGTGACTTTTTGAATATCTACTTTATTCATACTTGGTCACAAGTAGCTTTGGTTGTAAAACTTAAGATCTTTCACCTCATTCATGCCTGTGGAGAAAGTAACAAGATTCAGAGCAAAACTACTTCTGATCCATGTTGAAGAGCTTTATTTAGCTACTGACATAATGGCTTCTCATCACTTCAGACAAGGACTCATTGCAGATATTTTCAAGTCTGTATAATTCTCAGTTCCTGTTATAATAATGCTTTACTGTGTAGTTTTTGTAACATGTAGAACCTTTTAAGGCTTGCTCTTTTCAAAGATGATCTTCCCTTCTCTACCAGTCATTTTTGTAGTGTGATCTCGTGTGTGTGTGTGTGTGTGTGTGTGTGTATACATACATACATATACATTTTGTTTGTTTTTTTGAGACAGGGTTTCTCTGTGTAGTCCTGGCTGTCTTGTGATTTGCTATGTAGATCAGGCTGGCTTTAAACACTGCCTGCCTCTGGAGTGCTGAGATCAGAGGCATGCACTACCATGCCTGCTTGAGTTTGTGTTGTTTTGTTGTTTTGTAATGTAGATCTTATTTGTCATTCATTACATGTTCTAACTTAAATTGTTTAGATTTGTATTTTCATGTGTATTTGTGTTTTTACTTTCTTGTGTATGTGTACCATATATGTGCTTAGTGCTCATGGAGGTCAGACGAAGGCATAGGGGAGCTTGAGTGATGGATTAGTTGTTCAGAGCACTTAGTATTCTAGAAGACCCAGGTTTGATTCTCAGCATCCACGTAATTGTTCACAACCATTCATAATTCTAGTTCCAGGTTGTATATAATATATACATACGTACATACATACATACATACATACATACATACATACATACAAAAGCAAAACACTTATGCACATAAAATGAATCTACTTAAAAGAAAAAGAAGAGGAGGGGGAAGGCATCGGATCCCCTTAAACTGGAGTTATCAGTGGCTGTGAGCCACCACATGAATGCTAGGAATTGAACCTGGGTTCTCTGCAAGAACAAATATTCTTAACTGCAAAACCATCTCTTCAGCCCCTATACTTGTTCTGTTTACAAACCCTCGTTGGCTTGAAGAGGCAAGTCTTTGTCTTATGATCCTTAATCCCAGCACTCATGTAGAGCATGCTCACGCAGGTGCTGAAGCCCCATCATTTGGGTGTGTGAACTGTACAGCAAAGGGCTGCAGCATCAACAGACAAGACAAGCAGCTGCTCTAACCCAGTGGTGCTTCTTTGGACCTCGGCAACCACACCTCATTGTTGTTCGTGTTTCCCTAAAAAATGGTTCTTTTATTGTACATTATCCAGGATGGTAAGCAAATTGTTTCAAATTTAGATTAAGTGGGACCTCTGCCTTGACCCTCTCAGGAAGGCATTATGTTTCAGTTTCCTGTCACATTTCCTGAGTTTGGTTGTGTTGCCTTTGCAGTTGCAAACAACAGCTGGCTTTGTTGCTTTCCTGCTCACTATTTTGTTGGAACATTGGAAATTTTGTTTTTCAGTTTCATAGCTTGGTGTATGTGGACTTAGGGTTTAATGATGAGTCTGTGCTTTGGGTTGTATTCCTTATGCCATACTCTGGGGGCCTGGTTGTACAGCTCAGATATTCTAGAAACATGGGAACTGACTCAGCTTTTTTCAACTTCCGTGGCCTCAGCTGAGGTGTCCCACAGAGCTAGCTCCAGGACAGAGAAACCAAGTGTGTGTGTGTGTGTGTGTGTGTGTGTG